CGGGGAATTCGCTCGCGCGACCGTCGGCTGAAGCCTACCGAGTGCGTCAACACACGTGTGTACGATCTACGTGGTGGTTCTTGATGTAAGATGGTGCTGGTGGTGTATTAGAAGAACTTACCCCCGTTTTTCCTTTTTTTTAATGCGATTTTCTAGACTGCGTAGGTACTTTCTGCGAGGTGGTAGTCTCCGTGTAAATAGGAGGGTGAGTGGAAAAGTCGAGGGGGTGAATTTTATGGAACGTTTTAATTTGAGAGTGTGATTTAGATTTGGGGTTGCTTAGACACGAATGCTGGGATTTATTAAACGCTTGAGCATCTATGCGCGTATAGAGGGACGTCGTTAAAATTTATAACGTTTCTTTCAAAATAATTGGAGTATAATTTCATTTGGCCGTGCATTTAAATATTTATGTTTTAAACCTGCAGTGTTTTGTTAATTTTATTCCTTTGCCGGAGTACCTTGTATCAGCTTTCGTGGTGTATATTCATATAATATATCAAAAGTTCTATTGAATTTAAATACTAAATATTACCAATACAAATTTACCTCTGCCTTCATACATCAATCATCCTCTTATAAATCACCCCTTTAGATGGCTAAACAAATTATCCAAAAATTAAAACCAACGAATATCCTTGTATCTTTGACAGATAAGTACCCCGCGACCTACATACAGGTGAGACCTCTGTATACCTCTATAGGAATTTACTTTGCACTACAATGTAAATTACACTCCAGGTAAAATAAACAAAAATAAATAAAAACTTACGGATACTCAAAATATAATCATCCACCACCAAGTACGTATATTCAAAATATATTCACCTCGATTGGACTGTCTGACAAAACTCACCCCATACGAGTCGTCCAAGCGGTTTCCTCTCGCAGTTTCCCTCGATGCGTGTATTCCGTATTCTGGAATTGCCTCCGGAGGAAGCCTCTCGCACAAACGACGCGTAACGACCAATTATCGAGCATAACGCTCCGCTGGCAATCATTACAAAGCGTGCCAGCGGATTTTCCTACGTAAACAACGTCTTGGAGGGCGCGATTCTCGCGTGAGTCGGTCGCGGATCTGATTTTCTGGAGTGGGAAGAGGGTAGAGTGTGGGCTTGGGGGGTTGGCGCGGGGCGAATTATGCGGTTCGTGGCGTCGACACTAATCCCTGTCGAAACACCCAGCGCAAATGGAATAAGGGAGGGGGTGAGATGGTTAGGGTGCCAGGGGAGGGGAAACGAATCGAGGAGCTACGGGGGCCAGGGTCTGGGAAGGGGGTACATAGCCTCGACGTAGACGCAATTAATGCAGAAACGGGGTGGCGGCGGACGTCGAGGGTGTTTCAAGGAGGGCATCGTAGCCTACGTTACGCCGTGGAGACGTAATGACTAATTGAGATTGGAAAAGAGAGAGGAAGGAAAAGGAAATATAATGCGATCCGGGTGGTCACGGTAAAACGCACTTTTTCTTTTCTCGTTCCTCGTCCTTCCGTTCCCTTCTCTGTTTCCTCCCCCCTCGTCCGTTCTTCGCGTGTCGATTACAAAGGATCTCTCGCCTCCAGGCACACCAATGGAATTATGGGGGCTACGCTGTCGCGCCGGTAGACTCCTCTGCGTCGGTGGCTCTCGGCTCGATTCTAATGCGATCGATTTATCGGCCACCACTCGAGAGAGAGCCCCCCTCCCTCCCTCTATTAACGGACAGATCTATCAATTTCTTCCGTCCGTTTTTTTTTTCGGACAAGAATTCGCTGGATGATGTGACGTCTCCGATGAAGCGATTCGATTCAATGAATGTCTGGTAAGTGGCAAAATGGCGCACCGGGGGGAGGTGATTCGGGAAACTGTTGGGAGAACACGATGTGGCTCTGAGGCTGGAGTGGAATGTATGTCTGTGACGCAAGACACTTAGGATACCTTTGGAGTTTGTTAGTTCTACTTGTAGAACATTTTGTATACACGCTACTGCATGGAATGATGAAGTAGTTATTTTGTATTTGGGTAACCCTCGTGTAACACGGATGTTAGGCTCCATAGAAATGCTGCGTTATATAAATCGCGTTATCGGAGACTCAGATCAACTACACGCATAACATACATTACCGTTAATAAGTGTTCAGACACAGTATATTGTCCATATTAGAATGGGACTGTCATAAAAAAAATTCAAAATCATTAAAAGAAAGTAAGACTATAAGAAATTCTGAAATTATGAATGTTTCACGGATTTGCATCGTCAACGTAAGTGTCCGAATACTTCTGGAGGTAGTGTACGTAATAATTATATTCCTGCTCATAAGTATTAGGACAGTTACCGAATACATTGATTCCTCGATGAATGCGACACAAGCAACGGCGTTATTCCCACCATTGGGAAAGCCCTCTTCTCTAATTTATCAAAACAAAGTAAACAGAAACTAAGCAGAGACTCGGCTTCGGAAAAAAAACAAATTTATAAGGGGCTGAAAACCTTGTATGCACAATCGTAATCTACAAAAAGAAACTAACTCATTAAAAATGCGTATTCAAGTTAACAAAAATAAAGAAAAATAGAAGATATACAATTGAATATCGATTATATATCACGACATCTAACGTACGGTGACATTAGCTTCAGCAGACAAGCTCTTAAAGCGGCACCCCCACTTACGCCCAATCATACCATTATTCACCCCCTGGGTACCCAAAGCAGACATCAAAAGCCATCATCCTCGAGTAACCCTCCAGCGAAGAATTCCGAAAAACCACCCCCAATATGACCCAGACCCACCGTTACCCACCACAATCCGATCCGCCTCAACGACGTCCATCCCTTCTCCCCCCCCCCCCCCCACGAAGCAACCAAACCGAATCAGGTCCGAAGACACTTCCGTGTCGCATCAATCAGCCTCCAACTAGACAATTCCCGGCCCGCGTGTTGTGACACGATTTGTCACGATATCACGTGGAACGGTTCGCGACATCGATATTGTGTCGTACAATCTGCATCCAAGAGCGTAATAACGATTCAAGCAACCGAGCAAGACTAGGGGGTGTTGGAAGAGGGGTCTGGGGAAGGAAGGAAGGAAGGAAACCAAAAGGAGTAGGTGGAATAAAGGGGGAGGGGTGTGAGGGCGTGTAGGAAGAGGAGGAAGGTAAAGCAAGCGGAGTAACCAAGCCAAGAGATCTCCCACATAGAAGGCAGCCGTCGCGCGACTGTTCCTCCTCCATTCGTCGGCTCTGGGCTCGTCGACATTAAGATAATTACTTTCCAGCAGGACGTGCGCACTCATTGTTGCCGGTACCGCGGCAGAATGGCATTATGTATTGTCAGGAAGAAAGTGAGGGAGTGCGCGGCTACGAGGGTGGCTGAGGGGTGGAGAGGTGATGGGTGGAAAGGAGGGAGGGAGTGTGCGAAGTGCGAGGGAGGAGAAGGGGGTGCGCACCCCCGTTGGTATACCTTAGCCCGTGGGTGGAGCATTATTCCGTCAGTTCCATGTTTCGCCATTGAAACTAGCGCCGCGCGGGGCGGGGGTGTGTGGAGGGGGTTGGTTGCTTTCCGTTCCTCCGAGGAAGACTGTCGACGGGGGTGGTTGGGCATCTACCTGATGTATCCAACGGCTTTCTACCGGCGACGCCATTAATGTAATTATTTCCAGCGAGTATTTCCAGTGCCTCGAAACGGTTCGCGGGAATCGAGACTGATCAGCCGGTTGCTGCCGCTACGAGAAAAGGGAACGGGTGCGCGTTCTCCGGGGGACGCTCGCCCGATGACTTCACGGCTTTCCATTTTACTTTTTTATTTTCTTCTTTTTTATTGTCGCTTCTCTTACTTTCTGTTTCTTCGTCCTTCCTGTCCTCCATCGAAGTATTTTTCTCTCTCACTCTGTGAGAGACGCCTTGTTTATTTTTTCTTCGTTACAGGCGAGATCGTTTCCCTGGGTGTCAACGGGGAAACGACGATTCGTCGCGGAGGCGGCGACGAACCGTTAAAACGAGGCTCGTTTGTCGGATTTGTGTCGCTCGCTTGCCGCGACGATAATAGCCTGATTTCGTGTAAATGGATTTTGCACGGGGATTGTCGCTTTTTCGATTCTTTGCGCCAGCTGTTACATGGAAATCGCGGATTCTTTTGGATTCATTGGACGTTCTGCGCCCGCGCTTCTGGTTTCTTCTGGGGGACATTCGTTTCTGTGGTAGATTTGGAAAGAATCCTGGGAATCCTTATTCTTTTGTACTAAATATTTTTTTCTTGTTATGTTTAGTAGAAAGGATATGGTACACAAAGTGCTAAACCTGTTTAAGAATGCATAGATTTAACCTTACACTAGACACCTGTACAAAAATCACCTACAGTCCATTAGTCATCGGACACTTGTGCTACTAGACGCGAAATAAGAAAGAATTAGAGTTAAAAAGTTACTTAAATCATGAAATAGATAAATTTTTCTTAATTAAATATATGTTTAATTAACTTTTTTATTTCAGAAACTGTACTTGTGTTTCGATTTCCATTTTTCTGAAAAGAATCAGGTGTCCGAATATTGATGCAACTTACAATGGCAACATTTACTGGGATCTATATTTGCTATAAAAAGAGAAAGGTAGAAATTCAAGCTGTAGTTATAGAAAGTGTGCTCTGCAGGGTTAACATACACTGAACATTTTTTTTTAATATAATATTCTTGTATTATCTTCCTTAATATTTTTGAACATATGCTCCGACGAAATTATAATTCATCAGATCCATGTGCATCTAATTATAGGTACCGTATATTCGAAGGACACGTAAACTTGTTTTAACTTTCTCTTTTTCGACACGAAGTTGCTTCTTTTCGAGACAGGTGTTTTTCCTCTGTGAACATATTCAACCGCCATGTTTCGATGATCGAAATTTCTGTGGAAGTAACATGTTGTTTGAAAAATTTTAAAAATATTTATATAATTGTGATGAGACTAAATTTTTGGTGTAATCTCGAATCATTTAACACAGCGTGCAAACGTTTTTATTCGAATTTCATCATGTCTATACGCGATACGTTCATCGAGGAAGATGGTTTTGGTATTGTACCTAGACCTAACCGCAACAAACATAATGGAAAATTTGATATTGTTAGAAGGTGAATTTTTTACCGTTAAAAACAGACAAGACACTTATTCTTTTCTTTGATACTAAATCATTCTATGCTTGACTTATACCACGATTTGATAAATATGTTATTTATATTTTGAGTGAATTAACTTTTACACTTAATTTGGATAGGTATACCCTGACTAACAAACACAAAGCGTCGGTGCAATTAATATCTTGGGGCGCTGGTATTCAATCTATTAAAATCCCAAACAAATCAGGCATTCTTGGCGATATTGTTTTAGGATTCGACGATCTCGAAGGTAACGTATTCAGTTTCATTAAATTGTTTGTTATTTATCAATCAGATTTCCTATCAGAATGATTTTTTGCATGTACATACTTTGAGGATCAGTAACGTCTATACGAAAATATAATCAGGGTATTTGAAGAACAGGTACATAGGAAGTATAATCGGACGAGTGGTAAATCGAATTTCTGGTGGTAAAATGACAGTGAATAATAAGGTTCACCAATTGTCAGTGAACGACAAGAATGGTTACAGCCATTTCAATGGAGGCATCTTTGGTTTCGATAACGTCAACTGGCAGTCTCATATATTAGACAAATACGTGGTATAAATACGTGATTACTTATTTAAACGACAATTAATTAAATAATTTTTTTAAATTCGAAGTGGTGTGTACCTTTCAAAATTACTGTAAATTTGGTATATTGATCACCCAGGTGATGTCTCATTGTAGTCGAGCTCATGGCGAAGGATATCCAGGAGATATGTTGACACAAGTTAAATACTCTTGGACGGACGATAACCAGCTTCATATTAACATCCGCGCAACCGCGACTGAACCAACACCTGCTAATATCACCACTAATTGCTTGATGAATCTTGCTGGACATGTAAGATTATATCCATCACAGTTACCTAATTTACATATTAAATTAATACTCCAGTATTCTTCCGTTGGCCTGGTTTAAAAGTTATAATCAGAAACTTGTTGATTACATAAGATTGTGTATTTTTACATTATATTTTATATTATATATTTACACATGGTATTTCAAAAATTGTTTGTTGAGGATATCTGCGTATCATGAAAATGAAATATTAATAGTAGTAAAGTAGTATGAAATTTCGTTTTAGAAATTATTTATCGATGTTTTATCCTAAATTTTCTTATGCATCTAATAATTGTAGATTAATTAAGCTACACATTAAGTGTCAGTTCACTCAATAGATTGTTTTGTAACTATTATAGGCAACTGGTCCAATTGAGTTGAAAAAACACGTGGTTGCGATTAACGCCGGTAGCTGGACATTTGCAGACGTCAAAGACAATTTGCCGACAGGTGCTATATTTCCTGTCGATCGTACAGTCTACGACCTGCGATTACCGACGCAGCTGACCAAGAACCGGCTTTACAACGTACCGGGGGGTGGTTACAACCAGAACCTCTGCGTCACGAGCCCCAGCTGTTGGTCTTATCGATTTCACGCTCGGTAAGTCATCAACAACTAAAGATAAATGATCGTGCTAACTTTTTTTTTCAACTTTCAAATTGAATACTTTTATACCAACTATGAATTAGTAAATAAAAATATTTCGAGAAATTTTCATGGTTCTACTTTGATTAATCATATCAAGAAAATTTTGTTTCAAGTCTATGAATAAGACTACGCAGATTCATATTTTTATATATTAATTCGTGAAATAATCATGAAAAAAATGTAAATTAAAGAGATAAAGGTACACAAATGTTTGAATTTTTAAACAACCAATTTGTAAATTTTTGATTTCGTTGACATACACATGTTGTTAGATCCCATTAATTATATTTTGTTATTCACGTTGAAGGGTTTTGCATCCTGGCTCAGGAAGGACTTTGGAAGTGTATTCCAATCAACCAGGTTTGCAGTTTACTACCGGAAACGACCTAACCGATCCCGAACGCATTTATCCCCCTGATTTCGATGATTTTTGCGACTGTGACAACGAAGATTTTGTTAGACAATTATAACTCCAGCGAAATTTGATCAAGTTTCTCTACAAAATTTAGCAATTCTGAATACAATTACTTTCAGGCGACGGAATACGAGGAAGAACCGGAAATATGGGGGAAGGACGGCGTCCGGTACCAAAGACACGGGGGATTCACCTTATCGCCACAAAATTATCCCGACGCCATCAATATAAGCGATTTCCCTTGCAGCGTACTTTATCCCGGTAAAGTTTACACACACGACATCACTTACAAATTTGGTCTACTTTCGAAAATTTGATAATTCATTTCCTCTAATTTGAAATTTACTTTTCTGAATCATAAGATAATGAATTCCTAGGTAAGGCTTAACAAATATACGACTTACTTGTAGTGTCGAGAATTAATTATTTCATTCATTCATAAAAAATTTGTGATATGTTCTAATCGTTGTTAAATATTTCAGTAGAGAACTATGTAACTTATTTAAAATTGTCATATGTCGTCAATCAAGTAAGAAGTTCAATGATTAGTCAAACTGGTAGATTTATAATACATATATTTGTGAACCATCTCGGCTGGAATAATCTTCGCATCCGGTGTAATTGTACAAAACTATCCATACGAATTCCTATTCACATTATTTATCAATGACAACAATCGCGTGCTCGACCTTTCGCGTTCGTTAGATAATGACGCGTGATTAAGCACAGCGACTGCTACTAATTAAATTGTACATACTATCGAGTCGATTAACATTACTATCCTTATGTAATTCTCTTTCAATTGTCGCAAGGACACTTCGACGGTGTAACGAAAATTTGGGCCACTACTTGCTGATGTCCTCGAGAATCTTAATTATTATAAAATTACCGTAGTCACGATGTTCTAAAATTTCGATCCACCGTGGATCAGATTTTCTACACCGACAATGTATAAATTTACTTTGTTACCTGCTAGTTATCCATTAACGTTTATAAATATATAAAGCTATATCTGTGTGTCTGTGTGTACATTTCTCCATTCGCTTAGGCGTAATAGAAAAACAAAATTCGTATCTTTTTTGTACATCCCTAACATGTTATTTCTACGTGATATATATTTAATACATTATATGTGGGCAGTAATTTATGGCAGAGATTTTTAAAGGCAGTTTCGTGTTCACGTCTTTTGACAAGGTCACGTTCATCGTTGAATGTGTTGAGTTTTCACTCGATAAAGAAGGTGTCTTGTAAGAGAATTTTTTTCAGGCTCTATTCTTCTAGGCTCTGTGAGCATAATAAAAATTTTATAGTATTTCGTCACCTACATCGTGAAATCTCACACGTTTCGAGTGACATCGATCTAAGTGTGCCTAAAGTAACTATAAAGGTGCGTATCCATTCGTTGCGTATCCTCGTATCGTATCCTATCATATCGTATTTTTATACGCAAGGATGCAACCCTTGCCCGTCCACATTGATACATAACGATGATACGATACGAGGATACGCAACAAGTGGATACGCACCATTAGACAGAAAAAAGTATAAAACAAAGGTGATGGCAGTAAATAAATCGCGATCGTGTACAGCTAGGTTTCTATATAAAAAAAAAGAGAAAAAAACATAATTATTTGGCAGTGAAACGACGAAAAGTCTGGCAATAAATGAACACAAATTCAAAGCAATCCGCGATCTCAGCGCTGGATTAAGCTAATTCCAGAAAGACTCCTGTCCGTAATACTCGGCCCAGCATACTCCCGCTTCATTTGTTTTTTTTTTCAGATCGTTTCGTTTCGGTGTCTCGCGCGACAACGAGAGAAATTGACTAATAGAACCGAAACACTCGATCCCTGAACGTTACTCCGTCACTATCAATTGAATTCTGAACGTTAATGGCCTCTCCCAGACTTCGTTCTCCTCGGTGGTATCGTTTCTCGCGCGGCCATGGATCACCAACCGGAAGTGACCTGGTTCCTTCAACCGATTACGGAAATGAAGCGCCCAGATTCCGTGTTCCTTCACGATTTCGAAGTGGTTCTCCTTGTCGCCGTGTGCTATCGTGTACACGATATCCTCGTTCTATCAACAAATGAAAAAAGAACGTCGTTTCAAAGTATGATCTAACTTTATTTTTCAAAAAACTTTAGTTAATAAATCTACGTGCGTCTCATTGGCCCAAAGAATACAAATTCAGCATAATATAAACAAAATTCGACCTAGAAAATAACAAATATTCTTTTAAATTCTGACTCCGAAACTTTGAAAGTTTTCTTTTCTTAATGGTTTATTTCCAAATACTAACAACGATCAAAAATTTATGTTGATAATAATTCAGGCATTGGATAATACCTTAACAGCCGGCTGTAGTTTAATAATTCTCGTCCTATGCTTCGTCTGCTTCAAGCTGATCTGAAGAAGATATTCCTCGCCATGATGGTGTCTCTTCGCTGTCCTGGTGATTCGTTTCTTCGCGATTTCACTTCGTCGTTCGATCAACTGCTCGTCCGTCGAGTTCATTTGAGCGCCTCTTCTGTGTCTTCCTTTGCCATTAATCTGATTTGAAAATTAGAATCCATATTTTTATAACTATCTTTTTTTGGTAGAGTGTTTGTGATATAAGGAGATGGTACCTTGCAGGAGAAGCAACCTTCGGTTGATATCGTCTTATCATCCGCTGGAGGTATGTGATACGGATCGGGGTTAATGACGAAGGTTGGCGCGTTACTAATATCTTCACCGTAGTGTCCTTGTGACAGTGGATTTATGGTTGACAAACAGTGGCCCTAATTCATTGAATATAAAATACATGATTTTAAAATTCGAATTTACTTCTTGAGTATTATTTATCAGTATTCTTCTGGTTACGAACCTGTCCAATTCTCTGGTAACCGGTAGGACATCCGCAGATGAAGCCACTCGCACCATTCGGAGTGCATCCGAATGCACAAGGACTTCCCATGCATCCAGCGCTTACCTAAATTAATCAAATTTAATTAAATTACATAATTAATTAAAGTAACCGTAACTTTCTCCAAAATCTGAATATCACCGACTTTATAATATATAGAAGTTCTTTAATATTAATTAATTTCTTCATAGATATATCGTCAAAGGTAATTGTAGGTTTCATTTTAGCGTGCAAAAATGATGAAAATTAAAACGTCGAGTGAAATATTACCTGTACACAAATTTGAAGTTTATTGTCGAACTGGTAACCATCAGGACACCCACATTTGTAGCTACCAATCGTGTTGATGCAACTGTTGTCTCCGCAAGGGGATCCACTGCATTCATTCTCGTCGATACACTGGTTGTAATAAAGATGCTGGACGAAACCGTCGGGACAGCCGCAACGATAACTTCCCATATAGTTCTGTATATTTAATAAAATACATAGATTTTTCAAATTTATCAAGCTACCTGATTACTGGCGTTTTTATAAGGTATCACAGATTCTAGAAAGCTGAAATATAAATATTAATAAAATAATAGTCGAATATACCTGACAACCGTGTTCACAGGTCGCGTCATCAGCGCATTCATTCTGATCGACGCAAAACCTGCCATTCTGATCGAGCTTGAACCCTCTCGGACAGATGCACCGGAAACTGCCAAGAGTGTTAATGCAAGTGCCCGGTTTGGGACAAGTCCCAGCTTGGTCACACTCGTTTATATCTGCAACAATGTAAAGGTACAGTTACAAACAGCGAAATGAAGAAATAGTTTTGAATTCCGTAAGAAATTGTTACAGAATAATTATTTAACTGTGAAATAATGAAATTATAACGATTACGGACCGTGACAAGCGTCGCCATCTTGATTGTAACCCTCTTGACAGCCACAAGTGTAGCTACCCTGAGTATTGATGCAATTCTGTTGGCACAGGTGATTTCCGGTTGCACATTCGTCCAGGTCCCTGCAGCTGATCCCATCTGGATTAAGAATGAATCCTGCTGGACAGGAACAAGTGAAACTTCCCTCTGTGTTCTGGCAGTTGTACTTGCAGGGCTTCGGTGTCAACTCGCATTCGTTTATGTCTGTCATTAAAAAATGCATAATTAGATTAAAAAACCATTCATTTTTAGATTCTAGTCCTTCTCTATTTAGATTGCTGAAAAATCTCAATTATACAATATTTATTATTCTGAATACTTACCAACACATTGGGTTCCAGTTCTGTCGGGCTTGTACCCCTTATTGCAAACACATCTATAAGAACCGAGTGTGTTGATGCACAATCCATTTTTGCATAAATCAGGAATCGTTCTGCACTCGTCAATATCTGTGACAATGAATTTCCATTATTTAAACCTCTGTCAATATAGTATCAACGCAATATTAATATTAAAATTTGTAGATATTTTTGTAGTAAACAAAATACAGAATACCTTGGCCATCCACGGAGAAACCTTTGTCCAAGCAGAGCTCCTTATAATTCTCGGAGTCCTTCGAAGGGCAAATTTCGCAATGAGGTCCCCAAGCAGCACCCATCGTGCAACAACAGTCTGCCTTCGTGACTGTCTTCAGATCTGAAGTCCTTGCTGTACACCTTCCACCAATCGTTTGCAAGAAACAATAACCGACTCTTCGATCTACCAGAAAAAAAAACAGAAAAATCCAAATTCATTGTATTATTATTCGACAACATAGTAATTTCTTCGATTTATTACCTATGCAAGATTTCCCATCCGCGCTCTGTTGGAAGCCATCGTAACAGAGACACTGATAACTACCCTCCAAGTTCATGCACCGACCGTTTCGACACAGACCAGAGTTGATCGCGCATTCGTTGATGTCCTTGCAATCGTCTGTCATGCCTATTTGCTGATATCCAGGCGGACAGATACACATAAATGAGCCAATTAAGTTCTTGCATTGGTACTTGCAGTTGTTTGCAGGAGTCGCGCATTCGTCCACGTCTGAAAAATGAATTGAAACTGACTTGAACACCTACTGATAAAGAGACATTATTGATAAAAGAATAAAAGATTGACAATTTAATTTGAGTATAATGCATTGAAGAAACAAATCAAGTTCTAGCATTGCTGGAACTCAGATTCTTATTACAATCTTGAATCCATCCTATGCAAATCAGTCATTCTATTTATTACTTTCATTTGGTGTTAATTACTAATCTAATTAATATTCAGTAGTATAATAAAGGAAGTAAAACTTTACATAACTAAACACAGTAAATAATCGATGAGTGTTCGAAGGCTCCTCGGCACTGAATGTTCAGACGCCATCCCCACCACTGGAGGGTTCCCCATGGAACCAGTCAAGGGTCCAGTGATGGGAATAACGACTGAACAGTCATTGCCGAGGGCCTTCAAACACTCATCGATGATTTACTGTACACCAAGGTGTATCTAAGAAATACTTACCTATGCAGTGTCGTGCATCAGGGGCCAGAGTGTATCCATAAGGACAAATGCATCTGAAGGAACCAGGTGCGTTGTGACACCTAAAGGCGCACTGATTGCCAAGCTCCAAGCACTCATTCACATCCTCGCAGACTTGATTCACACCAGGAGTGAAACCCTCGTTGCAGGAGCACTCGAAGCCACCGTTGATATTTATACAAGTTCCGTTCCCGCATATATTTTGAACAGTCAGGCATTCGTCGTTGTCCACGCAATGACGGCCAGTTGCGTCCAGGACGTATCCTGAAGGACACTCGCACCGGAAGGAGCCGTCTGTGTTGATACACTCGCCACCGGAGCAAGCGTCAGGCATGAAGAGACACTCGTTCAGATCGATTCCAGTGTCATCCCTGCCTGATCCTTCGGGACACAGCCTCCTGAATTCCTCTGGATGAATAGGAATTATATTAAGAGCGTGACATGAATTTGAGTATTGTATTCGATAATTTGCCTGTCTTATGTACAGATAACTCTCGTAGGATACGGTGCTTAGGTTCATAAAAATTTCGAATACGAAACTAAGAATTAACGTGTACAAAAATATAGGGTTAGGTTCCAAAAATTAATGAAACTGTACTATTCTACAAAATTCTTTAACCGTGTTATTCAGGGGTTTCCCCAATCCTCTAGTCGTATTAGAAAAAAATTGTGTTATACTAACTATGTTAAATAACAAACTACAGTAAATCATCGATGGGTGTTCGAAGGCCCCTCAGTAGTAGTGGGGATACCTGAACAATCACTGCCGGGGAGCCTTCGGACACTCATGGATGATTTACTGTACTTTAAAATAAAAATTACTCTACCACACATTCTCCATTAAACTTCCCAGTTGTTATTCAACATAATTCAGTTATTATTCAGTAATTTTCAATGTCTATAGACTAGTAATTTCTGATTCAACCCAAGGCATGTATATATATACAAGGTAATAGCTTAGAAAACTGAATACTTGGGTTGTTTCACTTAAATTTATTTTAGACTTTTAACTTAAAGAAAATACCCTTACCGCTATTTTCAAGAGGGCACTGCTCGCAATATCTTCCCCATGCCTTTCCCATGGTACAACAACAATGCTTCTTCGTCATCCCACCTGTTCGAGGGTGGGAACAACGACCACGCGCGTAATTATCGTAACACGATTCCTCTCTCACGTCGATGCACCGCATAGAGTTTGGTTTGTCGCTTAACTGATAGCCAACTGGACACTCGCAGATCACGCCGCCTTCTGTGTTCAGGCAGCGACCGTTCTCGCAGATTCCTGGAGTCTCCACGCATTCGTCGACGTCTGCCAACGTAAAGTTTGGTTTTCAGTCTTTTTAGTTTCAGAGTTCTTGGAATACTTAAGGGGCGTTCAACTCACCCACGCATCTTTTCCTCGTGTGGTCCAGCTCGTAGCCAGGTGGACAGGTGCATATGTATGATCCCATTAAGTTCTGGCATTTTCCTGGAGATGGACAGAGTCCAGGTATCTAACAAAAAATTAAGTAGGTGGCATAATAATACGACGTTATTGTAGAATACAAAAGTGGAGTAGAATCAAAATATCTTACAAGGGAAGACACGGAAGTGTCCCCCTCCGATTTTGATGAAACTTCGTATGTCTGTTGAGCAGTCAAAAATAAGGGATACGTATTTTTTTTTATCGGCTGAAACGCGACTTTAAGGGGTGAAACCACCCCTCGAAATTTCGACCCGAAAGTACTGTCTCGAAAACCAGAGGAGATACATGAAAACTTCTAATGAACGAGGTTTGCGGTTTTTTATGTGGAATAATATCGTGCTAACAAATAGTCCAAAATATAATTTGTTTATAACAAAAAAATTTCGGATCGAAACTTCGAGGGGTGGTTTCATCCCTTAAACTCGCGACTCAGCCGGTAAGAAAAAATATGTATTCCTTATTTTTGACTGCTTAACAGACGTACGAAGTTTCATAAAAATCGGAGGGGGACACTTCCGTGCCTTCCCTTGTTAATTATTTTTCAACTGACCTCGTGACACTCGTCGATGTCTCTACAGTGCTGGCCGTCTTGAGCCAACACGTAACCATCGGCACACTCGCAATTGAAGGCGCCGATTGTGTTTCTACATCTTCCGTTTCGACAGAGGAACGGCATAATTCGACACTCGTCGATGTCTGTTTTAAAATACACCATTTTTAATATTATAGTAAAATAATCATTCTTCTACGTAAAGTTAGATTAGAATAAATAATTGAATTATACCATATAGTTTTTAATAACTCACCAGCGCAATCGTTGTTAGGACTAAGCTTAAAACCCTGGTAGCAACTGCACTTGTACGATCCAAGCGTGTTCACGCAGGTCCCATTGTTGCAAATGTTCGGATTACGTTGACACTCGTCGATATCCACGCAGTTGTCCCTGTCTCTGGTCAATGCAAAGCCAGAGTGGCAGACGCACTGGAAGCTGCCTTGCAGATTGTTGCACGCGCCGTTATTGCAAATACCGGCTCTTTCGTAACACTCGTCGATGTCGACGCAGTCCCTTTGACTAAGTCCAAGCTTGTATCCGGCTGGGCAGATACACTCGAAATAGCCTTGCTTGTTTATGCACTGCGCGTTGCCGCTGCAAGGATTTGGAATCTATAGAAAACAGAAACAAAACACTTATGTCAGAGATAGAAATTTTATTATATACACGAAACTTTGTTAAAATTTATAAGATGATTAAATTGTATATTGTTGTGTGGATGGGACAAAAATTATTTGACATTTCACGGTCATTTTCTTCATTTTATGCATAAAGGGATGGATCCCCTAAAGATAGTGATTGGATTAATAGGATCAGCCAGACGCTATGGTGGGAGCAAGATATTATTGAGAAATTTAAATGAAGAACGTTTTTTTACCTGTAGACACTCGTTCTCGTCGATACACTGATGCGAATCCTGATCGTAGATGTATCCTCGATCACATTGGCACTCAAAGCTGCCAGGAGTATTCATGCAGCGACCGTGAGTGCACATCGTTGGCATCAGTTCACACTCGTCGATCTCCTCTGTATGGTTGGTGATCGGATTCTTGATTTGACCCGGTACCATGCCACACAGGATCTCGTGTTCACCTGCAGAAAATTGTTCAATCGTCAAAGAAAGTTGGAAAGTCGAAAGACACTTGAAAGTCGAAAGAAAGTTGTTCAATAATCGTTTATATGTAGGTAATACTAATAACTCTGTAGCGCGATTCAAAGCAAATTGAACATTTATAAACTCGAGTGAATGCTCTTAGAATAATTTGCGATCAAATAATTTTAATTGCAGAGAAATATTTTCCAATTCTTACGTGTCCTTTCTGCTGGACACCTCTCGCAAGGACTTCCCCACGCAGCTCCCATTGAGCAGCAGCACAACATTTTAGTTTGAGGATGCATCATGGGATTGATACACTGACCCCCTTCGTAACTCATGTAACACGATTCCTTTCTCATGTCAACGCATTCCTCTGATAACAAAATTCATTAAATTATCATCAAATTTGTCAAACGTAATTATTTATTGTAAATTGATGTTACATTTACGTACTTCCTCCTGGCATAGCCATGTACCCTTCCGGGCATTCGCAATGGTACTTTCCCTGATCATTGATGCAGTATCCCACGCCGCATATTTGTGGATGCAACGCACATTCATTTATGTCTGCAACAAAATTAATATTTGAAACATTTTATTACTTACATTTTGTCACTTCTGGTAAGCAAAAAATTCTCAATCGTTACCAATGCAGTTGGTTTTCGTGTCATCCAAGTTGAAGCCCTCGTTGCAAGAGCACATAAAGCTACCGAATGTGTTGGTACAGTGGCCATTCTGGCAGATGTTCTCGTGCTCCTCGCACTCATTAATGTCCTCCAGAATCACAGTGACTTGGTTAGGTCTGTATCCAGGCCCGCCAGGACACAATTCCTCGAATTCCTTTGTTCCAACTTGGGGACACTCCTCGCAACGATTGCCCCAAGCGTTGCCAATGCTGCAGCAACAGGTTGCCTTGGTCACGGAAGAGGACATGTCGAAGATGCACTGGGGTTTTCCGGTGCCGCGTTCGAAACCGGTGAAGCAGAATGATTCTCGCCTGTCTGTGACACACAGCAAATATACTTACTTTTCTTACCATACTAAAACCACATAAATCACTGCTCAAAAAAATTAGAGGATTGCTAATGTGGCTGGAGCTGTTGCACCCGCCAAGCAAACGAAGCAAAGCAAGCACTATAGGTTTGCTAAATTTTCATCTTTTCCGTACAATACTAACACTATTAACACCTAGTTATATTTGTATAAAAAACTTATGCAATACGTGATCCTCCAATTGTTCTGAGCAGCATAGTGTGCAACAATTTCTTAGAACAGTTAAACACTTCACAATTAAAAAAATATACGATTGTAAAAATTCATATCTATAATTCAGTTCATGAGAACACGATCAAACGTAATGTTATTTAATCGCCCGCTAATTCCACAGTTGGAGTCCTTTGAGACATTTCAGTCAAACTGTTCAAGAGCTCAAATCTTCCAAAGAGTACTCACCAACACAAGCATTTCCCGCTTCAACCAGGTCATAATTAGGTGGACACTTGCAGGTGTACTTGCCCTGAGTATTGATACAAGTACCATACTGACAGGACTGGGGATTTTCGCATTCGTCGATGTCCGTGCAGTTGCCTCCGGAGCCATCGAGCTTGTAGCCTTCGTTGCACTCGCAGCGGAACATGCCGAAAATGTTCTCGCAACGGCCGAAAACGCACAAATTGTTGAACATCTCGCATTCGTTTATGTCGACGCATGTTTGCTCGTTGTTTTCGTCTGGATGCATGAAACCCATCTCGCACTCGCAACGGAAGGAGCCGGGGTAATTGAGGCAGTGGCCGTTCTCGCAGAGGGTGTTGTCGTTCGCGCATTCGTCGATGTCTTTGCAGTCGTAGCCGTCGCCCCTGAAGCCGGCATCACAGACGCACTGGAACATTTCAAAATTTCTTCTTGGTAATATGTTTGAACATCGATATTTTTCAACATTACTATTCTTGATTTATTCTTCGCGAAGTATTAAATATCGAGAGGACATTTTTTACGCGAGATACCCTTCATTGATTAGATGTGACAAATTGCTAAACTATTTGTTTATGTTTATAAAAGGAAAAAGGAAAAATTTCGTTCGTCGAACTTGAAGGAATCTTGGGAGAAGAATTGGAACACACTGAAATAAATCAAGTCTTCCCAGAATTACAGTCACTCACGGAAATCATCGTATACCCCATAAAGAACACTTTAATGAGATTTTTTATATTTGTTAAAATGTTCCTATAGACTAGCGTTTCCCGAAAAATGTTATACGGGACAATAGTGCTCCGCGGAAACTGAATAAGTTTTCCGTGAAAAATGATTTTTTCTTTACACTTGGATTTACTCATTTATTTTATTTATTATTTATATCTACCTGCCCCACAAGATAATCAAGGTGTTCCATTAAAATTTCAGAATTTGACCGGTAGATATAGACTAGAACGCTGCTATAAACTAGTACATTTTGTTACAGAATAGTTGATATTGTCTCATATGTTAATAAATAAGCGTGATACTACACAGACTTATTATTTACATTACTCAATATGACCTTTTATAACACCTGTATATAAAACAGTCTGCACGAGATGCTACTTAATTTCACAAAAATAACGTAGATATACCATTTAAAAAATGTATAAACGAAGGTAATAAATTATATAGTATAGAATAATGAAAAGGACAATTGCACGAATAAATCGTACAAAAATTAATTAATACTTTTATTTAAGGAACAATAACAGGAAGTAATACTGATTCTCATAGACATTACCTTGAACGAACCCTCCGTGTTGATGCACTGGGCATTGGAGTCGCAGCCCCCGTTGTTGGTCAGACACTCGTTGATGTCTCTGCACTCGACGCCATTACCAACGAAACCCTCGTGACAGGTGCACTCGTAAGAGCCTTGAGAGTTCTGACACTCAGCGAACTCGCTGCAGGAATACGCGTTCAGTAGACACTCGTCGTCGTCGGTGCAACCAGGACCTGCTTCCGGTTTCACAGAATATCCTTCCTCGCAGCGACAGTTGAACGATCCGATGGTGTTGTAGCATTCGCCATAACCGCAGATATGAGGCTGCGTTGTGCATTCGTCAACATCTGACGACGAATACGAAATTTTATTCGAATCAGACGAGACTAATGACCGTTTACTAATTTGCTTAACATTCTCTTAAAGGGAACATATAGAAGTTTAATATACGGAAACGTATCTATAATAATGCTTTCTCTTACCTACACAAGATGCTCCATCCTTCCCAGGTAGTAGTCCATCTGTACAGGTGCATATGTAGCCACCAGGTATATTGGTGCATTTACCGCCGTTACAAATCCGAGAATTTTCTTTGCACTCGTCCACGTCCACGCAAGATCGACCATCAAGATTCAGGGCGAAACCGGTACTATTAACAAAAATCGGTAGAATAATTATTTTCCATCTTTTCTCGAATCGTTTTTTCTATGAATTATCGAGTAATTTTAAAACTGTACTGAATAGTAGCAACCATCTGTAACCCTACTACGGTCGTCAATTTCTATTTCAACCCAATCAAGTATTTGTTTCCTTCACTCTGTTGCTACTTTACACACTCATTCGACTTAATCTCTTCAGGAATGTTCTTAGGTTTGTAAAACGTGTAAGGAAATTGTTACTGCCCTATGGGTTTCCCCTTCCTCGTCGTTATTTCGAAAGTATAAGTGGACTAAGGATGGTAGCAGGGTCAACACCTACTATAGGTCATTTATCCGAATCCATAGTTTAATAAATTAATTCATGAAGACAGGATGTAAACAGAAATTCAGTGTGTGAAAAATAGTATCGTTGAAAAAAACATTTCTTTCAGTAAAGTGATTCACCCGCAAGAACAAGAGAAGCTTCCAGGTGTGTTCAGGCAAACGTCCTCGCATCCGCCATTGTTCACCGCGCACTCGTTTATATCCTCGCAGTGGGACTTCAATCCAGTCTGCTGGTAGCCATCGTCGCATATGCACTGATACGTTCCCATCATATTTTCGCAGACACCATTCGAGCAGATTCCGCTGGTTCTCGAGCACTCGTCGATATCCTTGCAGGACTGCTTGTCTGGACCTAACTCGTGGCCAGGTGGACATTGACACTTGAAGCTGCCTTCGGTGTTTAGGCAGCTGCCTCCACGACAGAGTCCTGGCGTTTCCACGCATTCGTCGATATCTGAAATTCCCGACGCCTTTCGATTAATTATGCGTGAACCCTTCTTTTAGATCTTAATTCTTATGCCCTCTTATCCTGATTTTCTAGACCATAGAATGGCGAAGCACATTCACAGTTTTGTAAATCATTTTATTGAAATGAAAATGGAACAGTAAGTAGTATCCAAAGTGAATTTAAAATGTTTCGATACATAAATTATTTTTGTTGATATATAAAGAGGGATAGATATTGAATCTTTTCAAGGATCTACTTACCCATGCATATTTTCATTATATCACTGCTTCGATATCCCGGATTACAGTCACACTGGAAATTACCAGGTGTGTTCCTGCAGGTACCATTTCCACAGACACCGTGCATGATCTCGCATTCGTCGATATCTACATAAATATCAAAGCATATCTATAAATAACAATGTGAACATATTAAAATTATTATTGTATTATCCCTATTATAGTTGTAGAATATGTACAATTTCATAAATTCTTTTCTTATCAATATAAATAATTACACATTATATAACTAAAATGAATTGTGGTGGATAGAATTTTGATCCATACAGGTTGATAGTATTTTTTTTAGATGACGTCAGTGTATGTATCGACACTGTTGGGCCCTACACTTACCACAGGTACGCAGATTGCCTGGTTTCAGGCGTTTCTGGCCCCGATCTTTTATTGCCAATAACTTGAAAACGAAGTGACCAATATAATTCCATCATTCTTGACTTTCGTTTTATTTTGACATGCAGAATCGCACTTAAAGTTTCTGACATCAATATTTCTCATCGAGACAGTGAAATTCAGAAATAACCCACCGTTACACTTGATCCCATGCTCATCCAGCGCGAATCCCTGGTTGCACTTGCAACTGTAACTGCCCACCGTGTTTTTGCACCTTCCGTTCAAGCACATCCCAGGAAACTCGATACATTCGTTGATGTCGTGTTTATCCGTGAAACCGTCTCCTCTTGGACAGAGTTCGTTATGAGCATGGGTACCTGGTTTCGGGCAGGATTCGCATCTTTCGGTGCCCCATGCACGACCCACTGAACAACAGCAGAGGCTCTTCGAGAATTGGCCCTCGATCGAATTGGTACATTGGCCGTGACGGTACTCCATGTAGCAGGTTTCTTGTCTGGTGTCTACGCACGTGGTATCTGAAAATCGCACAGAATTTTATATTAAATGAGGAATTTATAAGTTTTTGAATGAGGGACGATTAGGAAAATCTGAACAATTTGAGAAGATTGATTCTTTTTTATTGGAGGATGAAGAAGACTTAGACGTCTTTCTGGTACCATTAAAATTATGGTGAACAAAAAATTTGGTGTTTTATGAATGAAACTTACGAGTGGCATCTAAAGTCAGTCCAGGAGGACACTCGCAACGGTAGGATCCGTCAGTATTGACGCAGGTGCCGCCACCTTTGCATATTCCACTATTCAGTTCGCACTCGTTAACATCCACGCAGTCTTTTCCACCGAATTTCGCGTACCCCTTGTTACACTCGCAAAGATTGTGATCGCAGATTTCACAGGGGCTTCCCCAAGCAACCCCCACAGAACAACAGCACTCTGACTTCAATGCCAGTCTTGGTAAATTGTACTCGCAGCGACCGTCTATCATTTTCGTCCAGCAACTACCCCTCCTGTTATCTACAAAAATGTACAACAATAAATTTTTAATCAATTTATATAATCAATAATACTAACAATAACAATGACACTCAATTTTCATTTATAATCTTTATTAGAATAAAATATCGAAGGTACTACTAAATAATTCATCATTTTCTGTCAAATATATAGTACGAATTATAATAAGGAAATTTTGCTTTAAAAATACTACTTGTACTAAAAAAAGAGGTGATTATTTAGTAGTAGCTTTATATTTGTTGCGATATTTAATAAACGTTGACAAGAAAAGAATACAAGTTGAAAAGGACGCTAGAAGAGGTTCGTGTGGGGTAAGAAAATTTATACCCATGCAAATGTGACCAGTGTGATCAAGAACGTATCCAGCGGCGCATTCGCACTCGTACGAGCCCTGTGTGTTTATGCAAATCCCGTCCAAGCAGACGTCTGGGCCAAGTTCGTCGCACTCGTCGATGTCCTCGCACATGTGATTCTCCGTGTTGAATCTTGTACCGCTGGCACAAATACACTGTTCAGGAAGAATTTTTAATAACATTTTCATCCAGCTTTAAAATTTCAGACCTACTATAAATTGCATTCGACTAAAAGAATATTAAGTTGTTACCTTGATGCATTCTATTTTACTTCATGATAAGCTACAGAGAACACTAAAGAAAAGTATTTATCAAAGAAATCTAAATGACTCTTGTGTTTTCTTCGATAGTAATAATCAAGTACACTTGCCTGGAAACTACCAGGTGTATTCCGACACTGCCCTCCACTGCACAATGATTCCTCCAGTTCACATTCATTTATATCCGTGCATATCTTCCCAGTGGCGTCCACTTCGTAGCCACTGTCGCAGATGCAACGATAAGTTCCCATCAGGTTCTCGCAGCCACCGTTCACGCAAATGTTCGGATTTTGTGCGCACTCATTGATATCTATGCCAACGAAACGGAGAATTACTAATACTAATAAAATAATAATTTTTAAAACTTAAATCGAAGTAATTATTTTTTGTTCAATTACCGTCTCCATTGTAAGTCATTCCTGCCCCATGAGGACACAAGGCATCGAATTCACTTGAGCCCACAGACGGACATGGCTGACATGTGCTTCCCCAGCCCATGGGCTGTCCCAATATCACGGTGCAGCAACAACAACTCGATTTTGTTACGGCTGTCGATGTAGGATTCGAACATTGTCCATCCCTATATTGCGAGTAACACAAGTCTCGTCTTGTGTCTGATAACAAATAAGTATTCAACAGTTTACATAAAAATCTATACACTTTTATTGACGCATTGTAAAACATTTGATCACAAAATTATTATTATATTCGATTAATCAATAGAAAATACTAATACCAACCTAAGCAGGATCTTCCATCCGGGCCCAAATTGAATCCAGGATGGCACTCGCACCGGAAGCTACCGGGGGTGTTGATGCAGCGGCCATTTTGGCACGGTCCGCTCAGGCACTCGTCGATATCTGCCCAGAAAAACCGTGGATTGTATTAAATAATATTTATTTTTATTATTTAAGAAACTGTTATTGCGCTCTAGAAACCTCACCGATGCAGTGACTCTGGTCTGGTCCAATCCGAAAGCCAGAGTCGCAGACACACTTGAAGGTTCCCTCCATGTTCACACATTTTCCGTTTTCGCACATTCCATTTGTCGAACATTCGTCCATGTCCACGCAGAATGTGCTGTCCCGAGATGCAGTGAATCCAGATTGGCAAATGCAATGATAAGATCCAGGCGTGTTTTCGCATCTGCCGTTCAGACATATTCTTGGATTGTCGGCGCACTCGTTGATATCTAAAGGTGTTCAAATCGATATTAAAGAGTGGAAGGAATTTTTTTTCTCGGCGTAAAAGAGAATTAAAGATTAACAGTACCGATGCAAGTATTCTTTGTAGGTGACAACGCGTAACCGTCGTTACACTTGCAATTGAAGGATCCGTTCATGTTAATGCAGTGGCCGTTGTTGCACATGCCTGTATCCTGGCATTCATCGTGGTCTGTACAGAAAATTGTTGTGCATTCAAACCTTTAATGTGCAATTTCTATGTAAATAAATAACCATGTACTTTATTAACTTACTTAATATTGTAAAGAATGTTTAAAAATAAGCTGTGTCTAGAAATCTTCTACAACTACGTAGTTAATTTCTATTTTAATAAATAATTATTTGTTCTGTTCTGACAATTTTAAAACAGTTAAAAATCTTATAATGTCGTGCAAATTCGAATAATGTAATTTGACAATCTATTTTGTAAGCCATTATGGGACTGTGGAAAATTTTATATGTACTGTTACATAAAATTAACATTGCAGAAAATTTTGAATCCTGATGTAACGGATTTTCTATGGTAATTTAATGCGTATTGGTCTTCGGGGGATGGTATACATTGCGTAAACATTCATAGTCAAGCCGTTAAGTACAAATGTGGATTCTTTAATTCCTTGCCTTATAACATCGAGTCAGACTCGTAAGAACGATTTCAAAATGGCTTTAACAAATTTATAATTATTAAATCTTATGAAATATTATTTTTCCGGTATTAATATTTAACTTTCGAGTTAATGTACACTTGCAATAAGTATAGAATTGTTTTCATTTCGGAGTAATTATTAACAATAAAGTAATTCTGCAAAATTCGTAAGGCAATGTATCCGAAATTAGTGAATGAAACAACGTACCAGTACAGTATCTGCCTTCACCAGACACAACGAATCCTGGCGGACACTGACAGGTGAAGCTCCCCTCGTAATTCTGGCAAGTGCCGCCCTGACAGTAACCCAACAGGCACTCGTCGACATCCTCGCATCTGCCTGCCTTCTTGGTGAATCCTGAATAACAGTCACACTCGTATCCGTCCTTCGTGTCGATGCACTTCCCGTTTCCGCAAATGTCCGGACGCAGCACACACTCGTTTATCACTGTGATCGGCTGCAGTTGTTGCAAACAGAGCCTGTTGTAATCGTCTATAATTGAGTAACAACAAGGAGTCCCGTTATAATGGCTAGTAATAACAATAACACGACTGTTTGGCCATCTTACATTACACTATTAAGTTACGTAATCGCTGCTTCTTTATTTTATTTTGCCCCATTTAAAAAAAAAAACAAAATTTAGGGCCTTATGAATTTTTCGTAAAAAAATTTAATGAATCTACAAAGCATTAATTTTGAAAAAGATAAAAAATAGAATTTATGAGTATGCAAAAATAAAAAATGGAATTTAAGAGTATAAACAGATAAAAAAAGTAGGATTTATGAGTAGAAAAAGAGGATAGGAAGAAAGAGTAAATTAGGAAATTAAAAAAGGGACATATCCAGAAAATCCAATTATTCCACAAAGAATATTTAGCCAACTTTCTCAAAATTGTATGTTTGCTGAGTTGGTCTTTCTATAATTTTCACATACCACTTCCAAGATTAGGACAGATGTAACACTCGTCACCCCAACCTCTGCCCATATTCTTGCCGCAACAGCAATCCTTCTTGCTCAATCTCATAGCCAGACGATTTTTACATTGACCGTTTCTGTTCACGGATGTGTAGCACAACCCCTGTCTTCCATCTAGAAATTGATCACCAAAGATATCCTTTAAACGATTGCATTAACACTACAAATTAGCTAAAGAATAATTATCATTAATTTCATGTTATTACCGATGCAGAACCTTCTATCCTGACTCTGAATAAATCCAGGATTACACAAGCAATAGTAACCCCCGTTCGTATTTACGCATCGTCCATCGACACAGATTCCTTCTTCTTGGCATTCGTCCCTATCTTTGCAATCATTCGTTTCAGGATCTCTGGCCTGTCCATCAGGACATTCACAGGTGAATGAACCAGGTGTGTTCAAGCACTTTCCACCCGCGCATAGTCCTGGTATAGCTTCACACTCATTGATATCTATAGAATTTATCCAAATAAACAGCACTTGGTTTAAGCTTGCAACAATGGACAAAGATAGTGATAAATATTGTGATAATATACGTGACTGCGGTTGTTTATGCAAATTTACAGTTTTCAACACTAATATAATACAAACTAAATTGCACTGAAATTTCTTTTCTATACTATAAGTTTTAATATGTTCATGATAATAAACAGATAATATTGAATTTTATTAGAATCTTTATTTTGCTACGTTCTGAAAGTCAGGGAATCCTATACACCCATAAACATTCATAGTTCAGTGATAAATGAGTGAGAGAGAAGCTAGTAAATGAGCCATCGATTTACGAAACGATCGTAAAATCGCGATAATTACTCTCTATAATTAATAAATGCACACTCACCGACACATTGGCCTTGGGTGGTCTTCAAGTGTCCCAACTCACAGTCCAACCTGGCAGGACATCTCTCGCAGGGGTGACCCCAACCCTTGCCCACGGTTGCGCAACACAATTGCCTCGTGCAAACAACACCCTGAAGATTCGCCAAACATTGTCCATTCTTCACTTTGGTGTAGCATGGACCAGTTCTGTGAAGACAAACCCAATTTTTTTTTTAAAAAAGCAAGGAACTGAGATATTTTAACAGAGGGTGATCTCAGGTGTATTTTCTTATAGGTCATGATGTATTTACCTGTAATCTGTTTCACACCGTCTTCCGGTGTAACCGTAGATACAGGCGCAACGATCTGGTCCAATGCATCTTCCTTGGTTCAAGCAGGGTTCTCGACAGATTGCTGTTCAGTGGAATTAATCGATAGAAGATCAACTGTATCGAAACTGAGATTTATCTAAATTACAAATTTAATTGGATATTTCTTAGCAACTCACGTTCGTTGCAGAATTCTCCTTGATACCCGCCGCGACATTGGCACCTGCCGTCGACGCAATTCCCATTTATACAATGCGCCCTGCATCTACCGGATTCTCCCCTGTCCACCGTGTTACCGGTCTCGTGTGTAGAAACTGGGGAGACAAATAAATGTGGAATTGAGAGTCTAGTGATATTTTTAAAGTATGATCGACAAAGCAGAAAGAATGAAATATGTTCGTTCACCTTTGGTTTGACTGTTAGCGCAAGATGAGGACACGCTGCCACCCTCGCACAAGCAAATATTTGGCCTGATGCATCTGCCCGTTGGGCCGCATCTTCTTGTACATACAGCTAGAAGAGATAATTACCTTCTAACTCAAAGATAAAGGTGGCACTTAACTTTCATGTAATCGAAATGATTTGAAAGAAACTAAGGACATTCTTTTTCACATCAGAATAAAGTCTGATCAATTTTATTCTGTAGGGGAGACCGGGGTTGAACAGGGGTAAGTTGTGAGAGGGCTACACAACTCTTGAAATAATCGAGACAGCGCTATGATAACAAATAATTAATAAATTATGATAACTATTAATTAAGATAATTAATTGATCTCATTAAGAAGATAATGATATGTTGTTCTAATTAAAAGGAGACAATTTACGTTATGTTGAGAACCCATTGGTTGAAAAATAATATTGTGTTGAGCTATTTAAAGGGAAAACAATAATGTTATGTTGACTGTTTGTAATTATTAGCATAGTTTACATTATTTCTTGTCTTTCATTGCCTTTCATTACTCGGACAAAACGTAGCAATCCGGCTCGGTCAATTTTCCACGGTCATAATATGTTTAACAATTAATTTAAGAATATTTCATTAATTTTAATTTATCTCTAGCTAAAATATAGACTTTTTTGTATCATGAAATAACTAGCTTTTAACCCCGGTCTCCCCTACTCCGAAGGAACGATCGAACATTCCATCTAATTCTACAGGAGAAAGGAGCACAGACTAAAGAATGATTCAAGAGAGAAAGCTACATCATTAACCCTTCATGACCTTTGTTTATTGACAGCCATTATCCCAATGAAAAACAACCAACAGTGATCACTCCTCTTCCATTGCTGTCTTCAATCGTTAATAAACGAATTTTATTAACACATTCACCGCCGTGTCGGTCGTCGGTGACCGTCACGTAATATAAACTCAAATGTCAAATAATACAATCGACGTGGACATATAATCAGCCTTAACAGGCTATGCGATAAACGTGTCCGAAGTGACCGAAAAAAAAAACATAAAATAAAAAGATCCAGCAAGCAAAAGGTCTTCGTGCTACAATATGGAACAATAAAAATTTTCTTCTGTCGACCATCAAGAGTTAAACATTGCAGGTATCTGTTCAAGTGTGATCTCGATAGGCGAGCAAGAGCAAACAGTCCATTAAAGCAATTTCACCCGAGTAACCGATCGGTCGTGTCGCATGAACGTTCGTTCGTCGGTCAATTGCGCAATTATTATCATCGTGTAAACGCGGCGTCGATCGTCGATCCTTCTTGCCCTGGTCGATCGTCGACGCTAAAATTGAATGCGCCCTCTCGAGAGAGACAGAGTGCCCACGGACAGCGCATGGACGCTCTTATGAGATCATGTCCAATTACAGGAAGCGGTAAGCACACGGGGGAATTATAATTGAGGTTTAATTCGAGATGGGCGCAGCTTCGTACTTACGAATCACGCAGAGCCCGGTCTCCGGCTTCTTCGACCAGCCTGGGCAACAGTAATTCTTGTACCTTGACCTGCACACGTTCGGCCTGGAAAATTACGCGGACAGATTTTGTAGTCTCCTGTGATGGAAATTGACGTATGGTCGTCGGTGGGTCTCTTCAGACCCGGAGGTAAAGTAAAAATACACGATTTAGTGATAAATACGACCGTCGAGAATTAAAAAATAAAGAAAACCGATGATATTTTACAGATCGTTCAGTGAATGTTATCTTGTTAATGACGAACAAGTAAGGATCATTCATAATGTATTACTGAACAATTATATGTAAGTTATGTGATATACACTGCGTGACATAAATAGAAAACCACCCTAAAATTTTCAATTCTTATGCATTGTGAAAATAAAAACGAACCACTTTTTTTCTAGGGAATATAATGTATTCTTTTCTGGAGTTCTTGTTTGTTTTTATTTTAACGAAAATGCGTAAGAATTGAAAATTTTAGGGTGGTTTTATAGTTATGCCACGCAGTGTATAATAGAACATGCACTACCGGCCAGAAGTATGAGACCAAAATTCATGATTGTAGTAACTAATTATTTTGTAACGATTCAATAAAAGTTACGGAAACAATGTATTTACAAATCATTTTCAATCAGTTTTAGCACATTACTTGTACAAAAGTTTTCTAGAATAAGATTTTCCTTTCATATAATTATCAGGCCTGGTCCCATAAATTTGACACGTAGTCTACTTGGACCTTTATGGTAACTCGAGCTTCATTTTCTTCTTAAGTATTTATAGCCTATAGGCTTCTGTAAAATGCACTAAAAGACAAAAGTTTCATCAGGTCCATCGAATTTTCTATCATATTCAGAACTCAATAGGATACTTAAAAGAAACATATCCTTCTACATTTGTTCTTGATTTGATGGGTTACTTCAGATAATCTCATTCTGCATAAAAATCGGCTGTCCAGTTATCAAAATACAATAGTCTCGTAGAGGAGGTCCCGCGATAACTCTGAACCACCCATTAACATTGTTCTCGCATTGGGGACGCGTTATTCGATACCGTTGTGTACGTTGCAATATTAATCCATTCAAGTTACGTATGTCTCTGACACGGATCATTAGCCATCAAACATAATTGCTCAGCTGGTCAATAAAAAGATAGGCTAAAGATGCTCGTAACATATTCAAGGAATAATTTCATATCATCCTTTATAATTTCCTTCGATCTCGAAATGAAAATACAAGTCAGAAAGCATATTTTAACTTCCAAATTCTCGATCTTAAAATATAATTATGTATAACAAGAACATCAACTCAAATATTTCAACATTTAATATATTCATTTGTAGCCAAGGAAAAACGTTTAGGTATTTACGCCCCCAACCCATAAAACCGATTAAATATGTATGTATATTTATTGTTCCCCCTCAGGGTTACAAGGCCGCTGTTACATTTCTCACGCTACAAACTTATCCTATACGTATACAATCTACAAAATATACAAAATTTGCCTCCCTCTTTCTTACTAGAGAGAGAACCATAAAACCGATTAAATAATAGCTCTAAAAATACCGAACGCTCAACAACCCATGGATAAAGTGTCAGAAATAGATTATTAACATAATATCTAGCCGGGCTGAAAAGTTTTGACTTTTGATCTCGTTCGAGAAGGGTCCGAATTATCTCGTCTACTGACATATATCCTCTAATTAATTAACATTGACAGATAACCACCGGCTGACTCGTCGCAACCAGGGACTGTACGTTTCCCCTGGAAATCCGCGATTCCGCCGATAGCTCGTTGAAACGGGGTCGTGGCGCTATCGGAAGGCGGAAACGCGAGTTCTTTTTTCCCGCGGTGTGTCGTGGCCACGCGCCCCACACACCTAGCATGAACCGCCCGCGAAGACGAAAGAATGGGAAGGGTGTGTGTGGTGTACCACCTCGGAACAAGGCGGCCATTCACATTGAGCGGCTCCTAATTAACGTCAGCTGCTATATAGGCAGCCTCTAAGTACATTCCACTTACGCGCCTCGGCGCCGCGTCGGCACATTTACACGCTTGCGAGCGCAACCCTTCTTCCGTCTCGAACGTGACGTACAACTTCGAAATTTCTTATCATGGCTGTTGGATCATTAACATGGCGGTAGTAGCTGAATTAGTACATTTTTTCGTGTGGTTCAAAAACCTGTTGCCGATTACGTATAGAGGGTGGACCACGAAACGTGATCAACTTAGATTATTCTACTGCTAGCTGTACGATCGACATTTTTTTTGTCTACTTAACTATCGGTACGGACAACCGTTTACGCGAGGGTATTACAGCTGACATCATTTTGAACATGGTTTTAATTAAGGTAAATGATATTTTCTTAACGTTTCTCTGGTTTAAAAGAAAACAAATTATTTGTTATGACGCTTGCAAATTTACTGAAGGTGACCTTGAAAACTTTAGAAAAAAAGAGTTGACAAAAAATTTGGTATAAATACTAGTAAAAAAAATCTTCTATCGAACAGCTAGCAGTAGAATAATCTAAGCAGATCACGTTTTGTGGTTCATTCTGTATAGAAATTAATCAGATTATATGTGATGTTTTATGGGTTTGTGTGCTATTTGGAGTTCTGAAAGATCAGAGGATGCTAATTATTGCCTAAGTTTCACAGGAATTTTTACACCTATTTCCTGATGAAAGGTATTTATTACAGTTGCATAAAGCGTGTATCATCGGATACGCTGTTATCTAACGAGTAACTTGCCAAGGAACGTTACATGATGATAAGAGCAGTTTGTAAGAGGGTATCAAAACATACACGATTATCAGAGCCATTAAACAGCTATGTTTAACCCCTTTGATGATGATGAAACGGGAGTTAGTGTACCTGAAGCTATAATTCAATCGAATGTTCATCCACCTTTCGCTTCTTTAAACGTGTCACCACTAGAAGATTAAATGCAGGTAATAAATAATAAATAAATATGATAATTGGGTGCCAAGAAATTGCCTGTGAAAGCAGTGACACCTAAATTAAGAAATAAATTACCTTTCAAAAAATGATGTCGAAAGAGGAAACGGACAGGTATTGCTGTGACAAACAACCAAAACCTGACAGAGATTGATTTTTATGATCATAGGTAATTGGAAAATTACGGTTTCATTATAGCAGCGAATCACGGGAGACTTGTGAAAGTTGCTGTTAATAGTCTAGAAGGTAATCTGTATGCAGATCAGCGGTAATTTCAGCGATTCGTTCATTACCAAATTGCAAATTGCTATATTATATCGTGGATCGATCTTATCGATCAACGCGCACCCAGTGTTCGTAGGGTGTAATTTTAACACCCACGGTAATGATACCCTTTCTTGACGAGGTGAGAGCTGAAATCAATGTTGTCAGCTTGATGGCTTATTTCTAAACCTTTTGGCGTGCTTGTTATTCTTTATAATATTCTTGCAAGCATTGTTAACTACGTACGAAATAACATTGTGCATAAAATGTAATCAAACGAATAGATTTATTTATCACTGTATGTAAGAATACAAAGTACTATCCAATATTATTTTGTAAGAATACAATTTCGTATATTGTATTAAGCTACAATGTCATAAAAAACAACAATTAAAGGGTTAAATACTATATAAAGTATTGATAGACAAATAGTGACAAAGGGTTGAACAGACACCTACTGCCAACATTGAAGGTTCAATTAAATGACTATTAGGAATAGCAATAAATAATCCTCTAGATATACAGAATGATCAGAAGTCTGTGCCGTTTCAGGGATACATATTCGTTCCCGTTCATCGCTGTACACCGCCATTTTGAAAAAAGGAAACGGTAGAAAGTATATGTTCAATTTAAACTGTGTTACCAATTTATTAAAAATAATAAACGTTAATTTCATTATATGTATTGTCTTTTCCATTTTACCAAAATTAAATATTTCAATAAATCTAAAATAATATTACTAAAACATAATTCATTCAATTAGATTATTTGCTCCTACATCACTAATAAAAAAGGCCACAGAAAAAAATGCATTCAATTAGATTGTTTTGAACAAACTAAACACGCAACCCGCCGCGTTCCTTCGTTTTAACTCGCAAACCGTTTCGCGGTATTCGCCGAGCGCGCGCGCGCGCGTACTGAGGCTCGCGCAATAATTCAATAAACGGTACTGCACAAACCCGATGGCGTGTCTAAACAGTCTATGCGAGGGGGGACGATAGGGTGGTGTGGGTTTAAAAGTTCAATTGGAAAGTGCACTTAATGGATCTGAAACGACCGCTGGAATGGCGCTCGGGACGGGCGGATTACGGTCCATTAAAATTAAACCGATCAAAAGGCGACTGCGTTGCGTTTAAGGTTGAGCAAACAGCCTCTGCTCGTCGACGGCTCCTCCGTGGAAACGCAGGAAAGGGGAAAGAACCGCGGGTAAACGCGGAATTAGGTAGAACAAACACACATACACGCGCGGGCATTATTTACGGTTGTTTATAAAACACCATCGGGCATGATTAAGGGACGCTATTGAGGCCACCGTCGGTGTTACGAAACCCGACGGAATTGTATCAACGGGTATGATGGAAATTTATTGTCACGCTTATTATCCCTTGCCACTGATAATTAGGAAGACGATCGCTGCGTACGTTCGGCTAGGAATTGGTCCGACGCTCGTAGCGAACGTAATTGCTACAATTGCCCGCTGTTTATCTAGCGTTATTTACAGTAAACCTACGATAATTCAGCATGATGTGAGAATTAGCGAGGAATTATCGAGTTATTGAAGCCAGAAATAACGAGAAACGAGGACAATGTGGAAGTCTGTTGAAGAAACACAGAAGATGTCTTCTTTAACCCCTTTTGCCTTCTTTCATTGTGGTCGTCGACGTTAATGGGATGGTGGTCACTAAAGAGATTAGATCATAGTTTTCCAATCTTCTTTGGCTGACCATCCCCTTTTCAAAGTGTTTTTTTTTTGTTCAACACCCCCTTCGAGTAGACTATTTATAAATTTCCAAGTGTACGTGTGAATGTAACCCTTAAATATTGAAAAGTTAAATTGAAATTGT